CCCTGATTAACCCCGTTCTCTCGTTCTCTACCTCGGTTTCCTTGAATTCCCATTGTTTCCTTTATTTATTTATCTTCTCGTCTTAGCATGAACACCAGCTGCCTCATCCCCCCCCCCCCCTTGTATGAAAAGCCTTTGCAATGTATACCAATGAAACTAGCTTTGCCCACACTGCCACCACAGAGTGCAAAGAAAGCAGGAAAAAATCACATTAAAATGTGCTAAAGAGCGCTCAGTCTCAGTTTCTCCAAGCGCATATCGATTTGAAAACCTCCAGTCTGCGCCTGCCGCTAATGTCTTCAGTTGAGCTTAAAGGCGTGTGCAGATTTGGAATTTATGGGTGAGCCCTTCACCAAGGGTTCAGGTATTGATTTATTCAAGAGATCTGCTCTGCAGGGAGCACGCAGATATTCCATCATGGGTTTTGTGGGCAGATGAGCCTGACTTACGACAACATCCTTGTGCTCTCCCACTTGCCAATGTTATATTCAACTTTCTCTTTGTTTATTGTCTCACCTTTTCGAAACGTTTCTAAATGTCTGGCTCAAAACATGGAGACCAGAATTACCACAAAGGCCCTCAGTTAAGATGAAAGCATATTTCAAAGTGGACATTGTGAAAATACTGAAGGAGCAGCATTAAACAACCCACTGCTGCAGAATACTAAACACAATATATTTCACATTAGGAATACTGACATCATGCAATTCTGTGCAAAGTGTGATTTTGGACTTTTAAGCAAACACTTGCACACTGGCGTAACTCTCATTAGGTCGGGCTTTTACTGAGCACTTACAATCAGCTAGGAAGAGAGACACTAAATGAAAAGGCTAAACGATAAAAACACCTTCCTATTGTGTGTAATGTTTTATCTTCCTCACCTGGACCTAATATACAATAGAAATTAACTTGATTTCCCTCATCAAAACACCAAGTGTCGCTTTTATCTGCAAAAATAAAAAAATTAATATAAGAAATGAGGCTTTCAAGCTACACGCCTTGATGTGGTTGTATTTTCTAAAGCTGCAAGTAAACTCCGGGGTCACTTAAGGACGCTTTTGTTACAACTCTTTGTTTCTGTTTGCCTGAAAGCGATTCGCAGTCGATGATACAGTGTGCTGCTCACATCCGCAGTGTGACTTGACTCCTTCAATCACGTCCCCCCGAGCCTTTTCTCTCGCTGGCGGCCATGAAACCGTTGGCCGTGGCTGGTCGAGGGCAGTTCTCATGCTGACTGATGCGAGGCGGAGCTACGTGAGTAACTTGCGTGAGCCACCGCGCTGATTGGAGGGGTCCAGGCCTCGGCATCAACAGCGGGCCTGTGTTCTCAGCGAGCAGGGGATCACACTGCTTCCTCTGTGTGCCGCTCCCGATCCCACCAGGACGCTTCACACACTTGCACATTTATTAACACAGAGCAGCACACCGCAGGAGGTTTTCAATCGTTAGCGTTTCAAACGTGATTAGGCTGCTGCGGCGCGACACACGGGCGTTGCTGGGGCACAAGGAACCACCTTGATCATTTTAAGCTGTTGGCCCTCAGTCTGGACACAGGACAGGGGGAAGCACCCTTCACTCTGTCCTTGTTCATCATGATTCACCAAATCCCCAGTTCCTTATTTGAATGTAGGTTTCACAATTAAACAGAAAAATGATGAATCTGAAATCACTTTTGAGCTGATGGCCACGGCTCAGTTCATGATACCTAGAGCCCCGCTGCCATCAATTTTGTGTGCCCCTTTTTTTATTTTCTCTTTTCCCCTAAGCCCAAAAAAGAGATTCTCCATTCACATCTGTAGGCACTGGGACAAGGATTTGCCACCATGTGGCTCCGCGCCTGAGCAGGTAGATTCCCCTTGTTATAATAATGAGCAGGGCTCTCTTCACTCTGGTGGCCACTTGGGACTCGATTAAAGCTAAAATGTTTGTTTGCGTGTGCAGATGTTTGTAGGGAATGCATCCATTAAGGACCTGACTCTCATCCGACCGGATGGTTTCGCTGTTAATGACGCCTCCAATTGTGAATACAGTCCATCCTTCGTGGGTCAAGCAGGGTCCTGCCGCAGCTGGCCCCCTTTAATCCCAAAACGGGCTCCCCTGGTGCCCGTCTCCTTGTTGGATCTGTCTGCCAGTCATAGGAACCCATGTGTAATCAGGCCATTTCCTGCTGGGAGATTTAAGAGTTGCCTGCCTCTTTCTCCTAGTAATGTGTAGTCATCATAATACTCCCTTCTTTCCCAACACACACAGGGAAATGATACTAAACAAGCATTTATATCCATTTTCATCATGTTTGGAATTTATTAGGAGGTTAAAGGATTGTGATACATATATATACCGACTGGCCTCATTTAAATGAAACCAGGGACGTAACCGGTGCTCTATTTTCCCCCTCTGCCTGTTTTTTTACCATGACTCAAAGACAACCACAATTGGCATACGTGCTGCCCAGTTGCTAAGCAGTGGGCCTTATTTATTTTCCTATTTCCTTTACTTCATCCCCTGCTCTGCACAAACAGTCTGATTCCTCTGTGTCTTGGTCAAACTGTTTACCTAAAGGAATTAATAGGTTTTTCATTTTATAGTTATGTCGGATGACTTTAAATTTAGAAGGGAAAGTTTCGTTAAGTTATAATCTTGGTTTTTCTTCTTTTTTTTGTGCTGATAAAAACTGAAAGCCAAGCAAAGCGTGCCATGTGGTCGGTTCTACTCTGGTCCTGTGTGAGACCCAATGATGACCTTGGCCTACTCCGACACCGAGGCCCCGGTCGCAGCTTAAAGCGTAATGGGCAGAGGAGCTGTGCTTGTTCACCACCGAGTCATACAATTTTTTCCAAACAATCTTTGGAACCTTCTAATATGAACAGGGCATGTGTGTCTGTGCGTGTGCGTGTGTGTGTGTGTGTGTGTGTGTGTTCAGCTGCAGCCCCGAGTTTCCACTCTCCAAAGGGAGCTGTGGTGATAATGCAGCATTAGCCACAGATCAGGCACAGTGTGTTGTGCAACAACGACAGGATCAGTGGTGTGAGTCCAACTGTCGTCAGGTTCTGAGTTCCCGCCCCCGCTTCTCCCGACAGAACCACCCACAGCGCTCTGCAGGCCTGTTGGGCCAATCGGGAGAGGGCTCGCACACGTATCACATCAGTGACCGCATCCTGTGTGACTTCTCAGCAGCCCCAGCTGTCCCACTCAACGTGTGTGTTTCATCCAGTTAAGGAATGAATATTAGAAAAGATGGGTGTGTTCAGCCTTGAGGAATTCTGCGAACTGTCTTGGTAAATAATAAGGATGACAGCATTGCAGTGTTTTCCTCTTTTTGGGAGCTTGCCTAAAAGCTCAACTCAATACTGAAATCCTTTGTTCCTTCAGTTACATTAAAGTTCCCCTCACATGTGATGAGGCACGGACCCCATTTTACAGTTATTACATTTGAACTTCAGACATGATCCACATGCAAAGGCTGGAGAACTGAGTGCATCCAGTCTACCACCATGTTAAGTGTGTTTGTTTGATACAATAAAGAGAGCGGCTACCTATTTGTTAACCAAAGCAACAGTGGCACCAAGGTATGTGTCAAACTTCCCCACTCATCTCTTAACTGTTAGCGGCTCCAGGTTCACTGGACAAACTCCAAAGGGCATGTTTACTGCTTCCAGGAGAGTGTGTGTGTGTGTGTGTGTGTGTGTGTGTGTGTGTGTGTGTGTGTGTGCTCGGTCAGATGCATGTTGAGGCAGAGTTTCGGACAGAGAGGACCAGCGGGCAGACTACTGCCCACCCCCCCAAAGTAGTAAACCTGGGGGGCAACACTGTTATACAGTTTTACAGAGTTAGTTTGTGCCATGTTAAGAGACCACTGTTTTTATCGCCTTTGGCTTTAAATCAATATTATGGTTTTAGCCAGCTTAATTCCTACACAAGCTTGTCTGTTATGGCTCTTATGACTTATTCAAAGCTTTCCATCTACAACTGGAATGCTCGCTGCACATTTCCACTGCGCATTAGTTATTTCACATTTTCTTCACTTACATTATTTACAGTTTTGAATTCCGGGTTTGCACTGAGCCAGAGAGGAAGAGACGGTCTCTACCTTCGCTTCTCCTTCTGCTCAACAACGTCGCCCACAGGCTGTGCAGCAGATGGACTCTGGGATTTGCGCAGACAGTTTGGGTTTCAGAACCATGAGGTGGATGTAAAAACGAGGAACATCCCATTGGGTCTGTGGCTGAACGCTCACACCCTTTTTGGTTTTGTAGCATTTTTGGCCACGTTCGGTCAACCTTAACACGCAGCATGTGATGACAGGCCCCTCAGACTGTCTTTATTTTAAGGAAAACCACGCGTTCTGCTCTCTGAGCCAGCCTGAGCTCATATACCACGAAGGAGTAGAACCTGACAGCTGTCTACGGAAACTGTCTTTGCCCGCTCCTACCCAGAGGCCTCGCTGGGCGTGTGCGTGCTGCATGCTGTGTACTAGTGTATTTTGAGGGTCATCCCAGAAAGACCCTGGGCAAGTACGAATGGAGAGTGCGCTGACAGTCACCCCTGGGGGTTTGTGTGTGTGTGTGTGTGTGTGTGTGTGTGTGTGTGTGTGTGTGTGTGTGTGTGTGTGTGTGTGTGTGTGTGTGTGTGTTAGATTCCTTGTGGCAGATGCGCTCTCTCTGGCCTCCGGCTCTTAGAATAAGCATAGCAGGGGATAAGAAAAGCTCTGTATCCTCTCAGATGCTACCATCCAAAAATGTTAAGAGAAATAGAGTGGTGTAATAGAAAGAAGGGAATATGACGGCGGGCGGTTTGTGTTCCTTTTTAAAGGTTGAGCGAGCTCGGTATTGATTTCAGACTGCAGGTGGAACTGACGGAGCTGTAAGTGCAGTAAGAGAGAGCAGGCGAGCTGAAGGCGAGACAAGGGTCCAGATGTGAGACGCCTCGCTGGCTGCCTGTTTACATTTCTCGGCCAACGGGAGTGTATTTTTAACCTTTGCCTGTTTTTGTTCTCCTTGCAGGTGCTGGAGAGTCGGGGAAGAGCACCATTGTGAAGCAGATGAAGTGAGTGGCAATCAGCGCAATTAAATCTATTCAGAATAACTACCCACCAATGGTTTTCCAACATTTATTTTATTATATTAGTATCTACCTCATGAAGAATTATAGCAGCACAAAGGTAGTAGTTGATGGAACTGCTAATTAATTTGCATTTTCTTTTTGCTTACAATTTGTGCTTAATTTGACTGTTATGAGATCTAATATCTAATAAATGAAGCAAACTTGTGAAGACCTGTCACAACCTTTTTGATATGGCTTGTGACTTCTTGGTTGTTTAACTGAAAATCCCAATGGAGACTGGACAGATAATCTAAAGAAAGGTGAATGCATTAGTCTTAGTGAGAGGGTTCTCATGTCTGAGGGTCATATCAGTTGGACCAGCCGGCAGCTCTTAAACTATTAAAGATGCTACTAATTGGATTGGCCCATTGATGAATATTTTTTTATTTAAATTCAAGTATAGCAGGTGCCAAATGGCATCTTCTGGAGTAGGTTTACACACACGCACGCACGCACGCACGCAAGCAAGCAAGCAAGCAAGCAATGTCCTCTTATGCACTCCAGATGATATTGTATACATGATGTCCCCCCTTCTGATAAACACAATCTTTTAGCCAGCGGATATGAGTAATGAATGAGTTTGGCCCAGTTATCTTGGCACTGCTCGGCTCAGAGCCCAGGCTTGAAATAGCACATTAACAGGCATTATCACCCTAATTATGGAGGAAAGGAGCAGCTGTTAAGTGATTGACCAAATCGATAGAGTTCAGTCACTGGGCAGAACACAGCGGCCTCACATGTTTACTGTACTCTAGTGGGCTCAATGTGGACCACAATAGACACCGGGGTTCAACCTGTTTCCTTTGGGGCACCAGCCTATTCAATGTGTTCCCAGTCCCGTATGAGCAAGTACGCACTTCAGAATGATCCAGACAAAGGAAGCCCACCATTGTTACTGCGCTGATCTGATGAGGCTTTGGTAAGCATTTGCAGGCCGGGTAACGTTGGTCCGGTCGTTTCAAAGACGAGTTTCAGTGCTCCTCATGAACTTCACATTGGGGAATTATGGTTGGCTTTTTTTATATCTACCTGTAACGAGTGACTGATAGCCGCGAGTCATCTCCCAATTCTTGCTTCCATCTGTAAGGATTCTCAATTTCGCAAGGAAAACCATAAAACGTGCTAAATGAAGATAAAGAGCCGCCCAACTTAATATGGGAGGATGTTTGAAAATACAGATTATTCTAAAGGTTTTTAGTTTGGCAATCAAAGAAAAGGCTTAGTATATTCAAGCTAACAAGACCAGCGACAAATAGCAGGGTGACACTTCTATTCTAGAACAAAGATTAGTACTTTGTTGTCTTCTTTCGGGCCTAATCTCCGATTGCTGCGTAGTGAAGCAGAAATGCAACGACTGCCTTTCTGTCTTTGTGCGCTCACTCTTATCGGTCTCTCTGAAACACTCCCTGCTTGTCTTCAACACAAGGGTTGAGAAGATGGTGCTAAATGTGTGTTTCCACAGCCGATGACTCAATGTTAGTCTCCTGGTTTAGTGTTGCTACACTGACTGAAGCACTCGGATGAATCTCTTGCAGAAATCCTCTTAAATGCACACATCGGTGAACACCTACACGCTTGATGCTTTTTCTTTTGATACATCATTAACAAAAAGCGCACAAACAAAAACACAAAAGTGTTTCAAAATGGCCATTATATTTAGAGCACAAGCCCACCGTTGTCTCTTTGCGCTTTGAGGAGAACAGGTGAATTCTTCTGGCTACCTGAAAATGGAACGAACAGTTCCAGACGAGGCCCAGATTTGTGCAAGGACATTTTTTTTATAAGGTGGAAAAACAATAGATGTCAGAGATACTTTGAGCGGGACTTTTCTATTCATAATTCTGTCTACAGCGTTATTGTTGTGTTAGTCACAGGAATGCTGTAATAATGATAGGGTGTCTTTTAATCTGGCTTTGAAGCTCGAAGAATTAAGAAAAACTCTTTCGGTTGACACTTATTCAGTGTAGGATAATTATGCTCGCAAAAATGTGGCCGTCACAGGATATGACGGCATTAATAATGGGATACGTTAATATAATCCATTTGTTTTCTACTGAAAATGTGCCCATTGTCGACACTATACAAGGGATTTTTAACACAGCATCAATTCATATTCAAATGTGGAGGAAGGAACTTCCTCACAGCACAATTACGTTTTTAGATTCAGTGCAAACCTTTGCACTGAATCTAAAAACATCTAACATTTAACATGTTACTGTAAAATCTGATTAACTCAGAGTGGCAAAATCTTTTCTTTTCTTAGTTCTTTGGTCCGGTGTGTGAAAATATACTCCAGGACCGGCCCACTAGATTACTCCTCAAAGTATAAAACTGGTAGAAAAGTCATCCATCTAAATGTTTTAATAAATACAAAATAACTTGTCCTTTCCACTTGAGATCAAAATGGGCGTCACGTGACCGATGAACAAAGAGTTTAACACCCATAGTCCAGACCCCAGCATGTCCAGCATTTAGCCACGACCATCTCCATCAGCACAAAGCTTTGCTTGTACATCTACATGGTGTCTAATCTCGGTTTATATGAAATATCAGTTTCCTTGTAATTGGTTTCCAAAGTATTACTCACTGAAGGTGCAATACAGTTTATCCTTTCAAACAGCCCTTATTTATGTATTGCGTAAATATCAACATGATTTGGGAAAGGATGCAGTGTCATGCTACAGAACCGACCTCAATCTGCATGCAGATATGTGTCTCCATTTACGGTGTTCACATTTATCCGACAACGTCACATCTTTAATCCATCCACACCTTCTCCAAATGTGCCAACCTAACATGTCTGCAATAGAATATTTTTGTCAAATAAAAAATACATTAAGGGAGTTTGCGACGCTCTTTACAATCAAGTCAGTCAAACGATTGTGTTCCATGTTATTGGATGTGGGGAAAACACTGTGGGCTTTCATTCTTCTTGGCGGCGTCTCTCAGTGCTGCACAGCGGGCTCCTTTGCATTTTAACGAGGTCCCATTCAGCTCATCACACAGCCGTCGAGCACGCTGGCTGTGCGCCTCTGGGCTGCAGGCGGAGACGCTTCTGTGTGTTTTTCTCCACGTCAGCCCCAAACTCTTTTAGCCAAATGCCTCTTTCTCTACATCTCTCTTCACAGCTCCAAAAGCAAGTCAATATTTGTCCTCCAGCTGAGGGATACAAAAACGTTCCCTGTACCCCATCTAGTGGTATCGTGCTTTTGAGCTCTCACACTTAAAGGACTATTATCAATTAAATGTACACTGTTTTTATTGCAACATCACAAAAAGATCTCCTTCACAAGCTGGGCGGAAGACGCAGCAATGTTTGACACCATTGTATGTATTTTATTGCAAGTATCAATGTTAGCGTTTCATTGTGACATTATGATTTCACACTAATGACACACTAATCATTTATCTTCAGGATCATCCACGAGGACGGATACTCAGAAGAGGAGTGCAAGCAGTACAGAGCCGTTGTCTACAGCAACACCATCCAGTCCATCATGGCCATTATCAAAGCCATGGGCAACCTGAAGATCGACTATGAGGAAGCCACTCGCGCGGTGGGTGTCTGCCTCCACATTTGACACTAAATATCTTAAAAGTTTCAATGTCCCATTTTTAACATATTTAATGTCGCCAGCAATATGAACGTTGAATTAAATTTGAAATGCTGCCAGGCGGTGAGTGTAATCGTAGAATGCCGATTGTGTGGCTGCCAGGTTCACTCCAGAGACCAGAGCTGCTAGAGAACATCTCAGAGTATATCGCCGTAATGAAAAGATATTACAGATACGCTTAAAAACAGCCATACGGCAGCTTTAAGTGCCATATTGTTCCCCTGTTGGATGAGGGATCAAAACCCAGTGGGAACCTGATCAATTATAGTGTAATATAGCGGCACGCAGCTCAGTGAAACCATCTACACTAGTTGCCACTAAAGCCTGCACTCTGCCTTCATCCTAACCACACATATCTAGCATTGACAATTTGAGGCAGCTCAAGAATTTCTCCCGAGGGCAATGTGACAGTCTGGAAATCAGCATTTTATGTCCTTGCGTGTATATGTGTGAACGAGGTATTTAAGGAAACAAGAAATGCTTTACACACTGGGAGAGAAGATGGCAGAATTAAGATTTGGGCATTAGAAAATGACTATATATGGACATCTTATCTCATAAATGTCTTCATTCTAATCTAAACGGTCTGTGGATGTACACCTTTGATACTTTGACTTTCTCCGACTCTTCATCTCCCTTCATTCCAGAGGAGTTGGATAAGCATGTTTTGTTAATGTGGAAATCCATCAGCTAGTTTATTTGAGTAACACCTGACCCAAATGGCCTGCAGAGTTATTTGAGTATCCTGGAACATTTCACAGATTTCAATTAAAAAGACAATATTTTTCTCACAGCAAGAGTCGGCGTTCAGCAATATTTTGAAATGCGAGTGAGACAGAACTAGTTCGGCGGATCTTTTTTTAATGAACAAGCTGCTTTCATTGTTTGCGCTTGCTACAAACTATCGTAAACCAAATAGTGGTTGTTCCAGTGCATACAGCATGTTCCCATCCACATATGTATCCGCTGTCCACTGTTTTCACATCAGAGGTGTTTCATGACTGCATCGTGAGAATAATTCAGGTTAACTAAAGGGTTATTAATAAGGTCAATGAGAGTGTATGATTATATATTGGATTGAATATATACTTTGTGTCCCCCATGGAAAAAAGGCAACAAAGGAAAATAAAATTACAAAGCCGGGGTGTTCTTACGTCCACTTAGGGCTGCTTGTGTTTGTCACAGGATTTTGATTACTTCCACGTGAAACACAGTAGAAGGCTGCTTACTTACTCTGACCTACAGCCGGGGTAGAGTGGAGGGTCAGACAATGGTTAACCAATACTTGGAAGTCTGCTCTCTTGCCCTTGTCCAGTGTCAAAAACAAAGGGTGAGAGTGGTGCAATGAAGGTGACGAGGATTCCCTTCTTCTCCTACAGAGTATAAACTAAAGTTGGGCAAGTAAATGCTATTAATGTAAACATTATTGGGGTTAATTCCATTTGATAGGTATGTTGTTTTTTGTAATGCCACTTTGCCTTGATGGATTCATTACAATGCACATGCAGGTTTGATGTCCCAGTGCCAATGATGATAATGCTGATTACCTTCCAAATGGCGAATGTTTACCCGTGGCGCTCGGTATTGAGAAATAGGCTGTAAACATGGTATATATTGAACATCCATTTCTACGCAATTCTGCACTGACAAAAATCATAAACTTTTGTGGTAATAAATTACCTGGTGCCCCCCCCCACTGCCCTCGCAAGAGATGAGTGGAATACAAGCCATATGGAGGTCTATATGTTTTTTTTTGTCTACTCCTGTCAGGACGATGCCCGCCAGCTGTTTGCCCTGTCAGCAGCTGCAGAGGAGCAGGGCATGCTGCCAGAAGATCTGTCCAATGTCATTCAACGGCTGTGGGCTGACGGCGGCGTCCAGAGCTGCTTCACGCGGGCCAGAGAGTACCAGCTCAACGACTCTGCAGCTTAGTGAGTGCATTGAACACAAATAACACGAAAGCGGATAGATCAAGTACAATCCAAATAAACCCTGGGACACGGGTCCATAGGGAGAGGTTAAACGTGGAGAATAACCAGAAAAGGCTACCAGAGCCACAGAATGTTTGACTTCAAACATAAACCTGGTTAGAATAGAAAATATGTATATATTTTAATTGACATCTTACAAGATTGACTCTTCAACATATTCCTGAACACATTTCACGTTAAGTATAAAGTGTATCTTTAGTTTGTTGCATTAGGTTCCATTTCCTGCCTTGTTCCTGTTTGCATTCAGTTCAAATGAGCAAGCAGTCAGTATCGGTTCCGAGGTCAAAAGAATAAATCAAGAAGATGGATTGCACTCTTATTCCTACCACACTGGTGCACTCACAAAATGAGAGATGAAGAAGTGCTTGTTTTCTCTTAATCAAAAAACCAACGTCTCGGGGGTAAAGAGATAATTGGGTTCATTAGTGGCTCGCCAGCTCCCTCTTCAGAGTCTGAGCCATCAAGGAAACCGCAAATCTAGCCAAGACTGATAAAATGAATTGATCTCTGAATTACCTCCGAAGATGTTAAATAAACGCAGTGTCTCAATGTTCACAGCATCTCCGACTGTTTCACTTGTGTCTGCTGAACTCATTTATCAAGAAACTAGCTCTTGTTTTTTTTTGTTTTTTTTTCACTCAATAAACATCAAACTGCTTCCTTGCAACAGGGACCTATTTCCTTTCCTTCCTTTGAAATAACCAATGAGAAGCTTATCTATGTGAAACTGCTGGGATTAACAATTGTTTTATTGCATAAATTTGATTGAATCAAAATGACATTAAAGAATAGACTTATCTGTATGTTTAAATCATAAATACTAATATTAGGAACTCAAATTTTCCAACCGGTTACACTAGCATTCAAAATAAAATAAAACCTTGGAGACTGGATGTATTACTACTAGTCGTGCTTGCTTTAGTAGTTTAAAAGTCTATTTGATAATTTCTCATCTTTTTTAAAAAGACATTTCTAAGCCTCTCAGCACAGTTTGCGGAGAAGAGTCCAGTAGAAAGCAGCTGTAGTTATTAATGGGGAAGCCATTTCTTTTTGCTGCAGCCTGCAACGACGAAGGAGCCTCAATAGAAAGAACCTTTCTGAGCACTACGGCTTTATTCAGTTTACATGGGGAGGGGTATTGTTCTATGTTTGTGTTGGCCGCTATAATCTGGACTCCATTTCTGCGTTGGCGCTCTGGTTGAGGCTGAAGGGACCTGGAAGCGTACCGCTGACAGGCTGCAAGAGCGGACAATATCCGATGGTTCATGGTGACATTTGGAGCGCTGGGAGAGTCTGTTGCTGCAGGGGAGGTAGTAATGAGTCTGGTACGAGACCGTAATCCATGTCGGAGCACCTGCTGAGAGCCGGAGAAAAGAAGCGAAAAGTCACAGAAAAGGAGAGATTCACATTGACAGAGAAACCTCTCTTCTCCCTCGCTGGTTTAATAGAAAAGGACGTGCAATGTGCACTCCGAAACTAATGGAATCATCAGCCATTTTCTGAGGAGTGAAGAGTTTTTCACACGTCTGGATGTGAAGAAACGGTCTCATCACACTCAGTAAGTCCGTGACGTCTCCACGTCGGGGCCACAAGGTTTTGTCTCCGCAACCAAATAAACGTTCTAGTCTCTTGTTAAAATATTACAAAACCGCCATCATTGATTGGCTACTGTCCCGCTGCATTTGAGCACCGCTTTTTAATTAGCGGGTAAGCAGACCAAATTCAATTAATCTCCAAGGTTTATAAACCCTGGGCCCAAATCAAGCAGTGCTACAGTATCTGATGTGTGGACTACAAAAGCAGCCCAATCCTCTCCTCCGTAGGGAGCCGGATAATGACTCAGCTGTCAAACACGCGGCGCAGAGGCTCTAATATGTACACCGGCTTGCAGGGGATCACATTCAGCAACAACACTTTCTTACGCAACACATTCTCTCTTCATGCAGTTGGAATATTGTGCTGAAAGAATTACATTTGGGTTATTGTGTGTGTCTCTTTGTAACCACACTGTATATGTAAAGGTTGACTGTGTCTTGTATTCAGTACTTTTATCAGGAAATCTGAAGATATTGTCAAACAAGGCCGGGTTTGAACACATTGCATTGAAGGCCAAGAGTTTGGTAGTAATATAGCAGCAGTGAATCGCCCGCGGTGCCTTGGCTGCCGTAGTTCATCAGACGACGTAAACAAAAGTCACTGAGCATATGAAAAGACATCTCCGTGTCCCTCGGGCCGAGTTCTTCTCAGCGTGTACGTTTTCTAATATATCAACAACAGAAACAACCCCGACGCCTTGAGGTCCCGTTTTCTAGCTGTGAGAGGATTGTGATTTATTTATGCGTGTACTTATTCATGTTTTTGCCCGTGTTTCCATCAGCTACCTGAATGACATGGAGAGGATAGGCAAGCAGGATTACATCCCCACACAGCAGGACGTGCTGCGGACCCGAGTGAAGACCACTGGCATCGTGGAAACGCATTTCACCTTCAAGGAACTGCACTTCAAGTAAGACCCCCACCTACCCCCCCCCCCCAACAGCTTTTTTTACTCAGCTGCTCGTTTTGTTAAAGGTTAAAATATCTTCAGGTTGTGCAGCTCAACATTTAATTCCATCTACCAAAGGTTATACGCCACTTATTTACCCAACTGCTTCTGCTTATATTTCCATGAAATAAAAAGCTATTTCCTCAAGCAAAGGACATTTAATTCATCAGCTCCTTTTCGTAGATCATCACCACTCATTAGAGGGATGCCTCCAGTGCTCCGGCGCAATTACAGCTCACCGCCCGAAGTTTATCAACATTTAGTCTCTTTGGATGGATGAAATATTACAGAGCAGGGAAATCCCTTTTCATCTCCAACACATCCTCAATGCATCACTCTTTTAATTGAAGATATTGACTCAAAACGTTATCTGAAGGAATCAAGAAGAATCTTGAACAAGAATCAAATTTTGTGAAAATCTGAGCTGCTGATCAATGACAACTTTGCAATCTTGAAAATCTGTGCTTGCGCGTAAGAGTCTTGGATTTATGGTCACACTTTGTGTTCTTTATGTTTGCCAGCGCACGATGCTTTCAGGTCTATAAGTTCCCACTCGATGCTGGTTTATTTAGGACTGCACACATATCACACATATAGAAGGAAACGCATATCAATATTGAAAGAGGATACAAACTCACTATTATCTTTTCTGTTTACTTTGGATGATGGTTTTCAGACCTGATTCTGAGATGTTGCCTCCTTTTTTCAATATAAATGTTTCATCAGTGTGTTTATGTTTTTGGAAAAGTGATATATTTCTCATTGAGATAATGAAATAAAACCAGAGACAAACCTGGTGTATCTTTTTATATGTGATTGAAACATTAGTTACTCCTGCTGCTTCAACAAAGCAAATTAACATGTGGGTGGGCTGCTGTGAGTCTTTGTGTAATATCCAAGTCTCATATTTGTGTCTTGATTTATCGTATTTCTCTTGGGAAGACCGTTTCACCAGATCCAACGAGCACATGTTTACCTCAAGCCGCTCTTTAGTGCTGTGCTGCCGTGATGTATTTATCCTACGTAAGCATTGCCGGGGATGAAAGCACTGTTTGATGAACGGTCCTAACTGTGTCACTGTTCTAATGAGCTCTGCTTACTCATCTTAAAGCTGGAGTCAAAGTTCTGCTGTTATGAGCCAAATCCTGCAAAGTGAAAACTGCTTAGCCGGAAGAATAAATGTCTGTCTCTGCGATGGTCTAAATGATTAAAAACTCGCTGAAAAGCTTCCTCTCGGTGTCAGATGTAGAAAATCCTGCGTGTGGCAGCGCCCAGATGAGCATCCTCCCTCGTCCATCGAGGTACCCTCTATCTTCATGAATAAGTCATAAAGGAGCTTAGTGATAAACCTGCCGCTGCCGGGAATCAACCCGCCGTAAGGCCGCCTGTTACCACAGCAACCGGACCAAACCAAAATGCCAGCGGCACGGCAGGCCCGTGCAGCAGAACAGTAGTTCGGGAAGAGGGCACAAACTAATTCCTGAGGGAGATGTTGTCGGCATGGAAAAGCGTTGATTCTCCTGTGCTCAGTCCCATTTGAAACCGCGTGTTTATACTGTGTTTGTGTGCAGGATGTTTGATGTTGGAGGCCAGCGGTCAGAAAGGAAGAAGTGGATCCACTGCTTCGAGGGAGTCACGGCCATCATCTTCTGTGTAGCCATGAGCGCTTACGACCTGGTCCTGGCTGAGGATGAAGAGATGGTGAGTTAAGCCGAGACTCCTTCAATTGTTAAACGTTTTTTTTAAATGATGTTTTGCGGTAGAGCCCATTCCCAGGGTGTGCCCAAATGGGGGGAGGGGGGGGAGAGGTTGGGTTTCAGTGAACTCATTTCCTCCATGTGCTCCCTAATAATCTCTTTATCTCCACATTTGCGCCCGTCCCACCCAGAACCGGATGCACGAGAGCATGAAGCTCTTTGACTCCATCTGCAACAACAAGTGGTTCACAGAGACGTCCATCATCCTGTTCCTCAACAAGAAGGACCTGTTCGAGAAGAAGATCGCCCAGAGCCCTCTGACCATCTGCTTCCCTGAGTACTCCGGTACGGTCTGACAGCGCCTCAACGCGACCACCGCACACAACCAGCTGATCGAGCAAACCTTCTGCGTTTCACTTATTTAAAACAAGTAAACATTGGGGAAATAAGATGTTATACTTCCTCTTTGTTTACTTCTTTTTTGTTGTGACGGCAAGGCCGTTACATTCAATCCAAAAATGCAATCATCCGTTAGCCTGTTGTCCAACAATCTTTAAAAACCTAGAAGGTTGTTCAGTAGTGCTGTTCTGAAAGTATTTCCAAAATCATTGAAGACTTTCATTGAGGTGGATTGGATCATATTCCATTTGCTGCAAGATGAAGCATTTTTTTTTTATTTGTCGCTTTTCTTCGCGACTACATTTACTGATCCATGTTGGCAAGAATGAAATATTAATGCAATATTTCCAGGACATCGGCGAGTCTTGTTTGAGTGGGTTCTCAAACTCAAACCCACCTACTGTGAGATGTAATGATGATACGAGGGAGGCTTATGAAAGCGTGACGGACGAACTGCGTGATGCAGACGCGAGCTCTCCTAACACACTCTCTCCCTCTCTCAGGCCCTAACAAGTACGAGGAGGCCCAGGCTTACATCCAGACCAAATTCGAGGACCTGAACAAGAAGAAGGACACCAAGGAAATCTACACCCACTTCACCTGCGCCACCGACACCAAAAACGTGCAGTTTGTGTTCGATGCCGTCACCGACGTTATCATCAAGAACAACCTGAAGGACTGTGGCCTCTTCTAAAGACGTGTGTGAGGAAGAGTCAAGGTGAGTTCAGAAAAACAAATCTGACTCAGTGATTCAGCTCTTGCAGGCCACAAAATGAAGCGTGTTTGAAATGACTAATTCTGTGTTTTTTTGTTCTTTATTAGATTACTTGAAGAGTTGTGAAGACCATAAAGATAGGGGGAATATACACACATCATGAATGACCGCATTGGCCAACCACGATTTCTGCTTCGATCTGCTTTTTATAAAGACACCTAATAGACTGAAAACCCAACGAGCCTCGCAGAAATTCAGTAAATGCTGATCCAGTTGATCGTATTGTTAACTCTTTGGGCTATGACCACAAAAATCAACATCTTATTATTGTTTTTTTCCTTCTTTTTTGTCTTTACTAGAGGAAGCAAAGGAAAAGTTTTTATATAAATGCATTCATTTTACTTTTAGAAATTCTGATGTGCAAATTATTCAGCTTTTAATCACATGAAGCTTATTTTTTAAGAGATTAGGCACAGGCATGGACATAAAATATGATTGATAAAGGATTGTGCTTTTCTTTTCTTTTTTTTAAGATAATGTTTACTTAAGTTCGTCATTCATAGCCAAACCGTGTATTGTTCTGCATGTCAAATATTAGCTCTGTAATCTGCACAAATGATCTAACATTCCTATAAAATGCTAAAAAAAAAATCTTAAAACGTTGAAAAAATGAAAAGCTTCACTTGCAGGGGGAAATTATGGTAAAATCCTAACTGATATTTAAAGTATGTGTGTACCTAACATTCTGTCACTTTTTATAGTACCATTTCCATGTCTGTTGCAGTATGTTTGTGCCTTGACTTCTGTTTACAACCGATTCCTAGATATGCTTTCTGTATGTTTGACCTGCTGTGCGCCTATATTTTTCTTGCTTTTTCTGCCTAGCACCTATGGATATATAGTGATTATTAATGAGACAAAAATCTTAATTCAGAAAATTTTTAGTGTTTTTTTGGTAAATATTCAAATGCTTTAAAAAGTCTTTTATGATTTAATTTAAATAAAAGTAGAGATCACCTGACTCGTGCACATTATTTTTCCTCTTTGTATTGTTTTGTATGTTACTTTTACGTATTCTTGTAACTTTTTATTTAGACTTTACACACGTTTGATTGCATAATCATACCTTTCAACAAAGTGACACCATGTCACCTATCTTACAAAAAGGGATTATGGTAAATTATAAAATATAGTGGAATATTAACGTTAACATATTAATAGAAAACCGCAGGCATCTGAAAAAGGCAAAAGCAAAAAAGTGTGAGGGCGGACATTGATCATGGATTTGTTATTTCTTCTTTCAAAAGTGACATGATCTTACTTTTAGAACAATCTTTTGATATTGACAAATATTACATATTTGTTATAAGCATTCAGTTGTATGGAGACAACACAAGTCACTAAACGTCTTACTGGAGTCACTTCTTTAAACGGGATGACGGCTCCACCCAGTGGTCTGCGCAAGTACTCGCTGCACTGAGACTTGCCCGTTCACTCTTATTCAGCTCAGTTTTGCCTTTCGGCATGTATTTCTTTTTTCTTTGAGCCTTTTAAACATGTGTATGAATGTATGAATATGAATTGAAACTAAAACACAACGACACACCACTCTGTGGCGTTAAGACATCTAGTCCCCTCCTGGTTGTCCCGGTGGAGAGCTGGTCTTCTCTCCCTTTACCTGCAGTGGTCTGATTCTGAACTGCAGTTTGTTGATAAAAGGATTGGTGCGAGGGACACATTGCTGTTAGACCCGTCCACATCCACTCGAGTAGTCTCAGACGTCTTAAGCTGGGACATAAAGACAGAAAAATACCCTCTATAATGGGATGGTCAGTAGGGTTGAAATGTATTTTTGTTGTCATTTCAACATCATTTTTTAGTGTTAAAGCCTTCTTGGTGAGACGCATTTACAAAATGTTAGAAGGCAAATCAACGATGCTCATATTAAAGATAAAAAAAGAGGACAATGCGATATAAACGATCACTGGAGCTCTGGAGCTTCTCTTGTGCATGGACTGTAACTTCTGCAAACTAAAACAATTCCTCATTTATTAAAGACTGAAATAAGTCTGGATCTTTTAATGTTCTGCAAATGACTCAACTTTAACTCTGAGGAGGAACGATGAGTGAATGAATAAATGTAGGCACATGGTGTTGAACAATACTGCATGCATAAGGGTGAGGTTTTAGATAAGGATGCTCACTTACTCTTTTTAGAAGGTTTCATCAACAGTGTTTGTTCAGTCGCTGAACGGTGGTTATGCTCATATCGCTGATTTAATTCTGCAACAATACATTGTATGAGAACTGTGATGTAAACGTTTGTCCGAAATAAAACATAAGTGTACCTGCTTAATGTGGAACAACTATCATCTCGTAGATTTAAAAAAAGTTGTGTGACTTCAGACAATTGGTTCAAACTCAACTGAATCAGCTCTTCAACAGAGAACAAATAAAGTCTGTTTAACTCATTTTTGTGTTTTTTTGTGCTTTAATAGTCATAATATATGATAATAGTTCTGCTGACCATAAAGAAAGGGTGAATACATACACTGAATGACTCCACGGCCAACCACAATATCTGCTTAGATCTGCTTTTTATTAAGACAGGCACAGAAAAAGAGTTTAGGAAAAAAACCTCCCTTGATTTAAATGAATCTTTGGAGCAGTGCTTTCTCTAGAGGGCACTGCAGATCCTCCATCACTCCAACTCTGTCCATCAGCCTCAGAGGCACAACACATTTGAGTGTATACACACCTAATAGTAAGGCAAAATGTTCTGTTCTGTTCAGTTAGGTAAATATTTCAAAGTAATGGTACATTTATTAAATATCAGATTATTGTTTAACTCGTTTAAACAATCTCTGAGACAGACTTTGAACTGTTCCTGCATTCAAACTGTGAGACATAGATGCAATAATATGTGTGCAAAAGAAGGATTTTCACCCAAAGCCAGAAAGGAAAAAATGAAAGAAAAATCCAATGCTTTAAAACCTCATTCTAATAAATTTTAGTCAAACACAGGTAGCTTTAGGGTTGAACACTATAGAGAACCAGATACTGTTTGTCTGAGGGCTCAGCACTATTGACCGCTGTGATACTTACAAATGCAATGTCCACACAAAACTGCAGCATGCATCAAGTATTACAAATAAGGAGCGTAATGGATTGTGTTCAAATACCAGCATTAAATAATTATATCCATTAGGGATACAATAATATATTGGTGAGTCAAAACAGCACAATTATCAAGATAAAGTATGAGCTGAATATACATCTTTACTTTTCAATTCCATTAAAAGCCTGATGTAGTACGTGGTATACGTGCTGCTGGCAGCACCACTCTTACCGTTGTATAATTGTCTATATGCGACATAATATTGATATAAGTGAAGCCCAGTTATCAGGAACCTTTTCATTTCAAATGGCTAATTTCAATCTCCAACATTAGTCTGTGCAGCGTATTTTGAAGCTGTAGGTGAACATATCTATCCGGATTAGACACTAATAAAATGCTGAAAAAGCCCAATGAGAACAGAGTGCCTGTGTTGGGTCCAGGGGGCCCCGCAGGTTTGGGCATGCCATAAGTACCTGTATGTTAATGTTGGACTTGCTGTGGAGACAAATCTGCACGTAAACAGCGGAGCATCAGATCTGGATTCACCCCCAAAAGGAACGAACAGATGCATTCCTGCCAGCCCATCAGATATGCATTAGCAGCCAACAGGTCATCTGAATACTGTGAATGCAAAGGTTGAGTGCTGAACGACTGTCAGGGTTACAGCTCAATGCCCAATTACAGGGCAGATGATCACATTTACATATGAGTATTTTAGTTACGCTCTGATTCAATGAGTAGCAATCAGCCCCCAGTGGGAGAGGCTACTGAATTATAAGGAGCCAAAAAAAGTAGTGCAATGGTTTGGACATTTTTAAAATGTGACTTTAAAACAACCCTACAAAAACAAGAATAGTGATATTAGAAAATGTCTTTCCTGCATTTTTACAAGTTTTAACTCTACACACAAATGCAGAATAATTGAACTGAAACTATCTATTGATTGTAAAATAGGGCAATTGATGAAGAAGCCTAAATTCACAGGTTCAAGCATCATGGGCATGCTTTTATGGTTGATTATTAATCTGGTAAATCCAATGTATTTAGATTGTTGGAAAGATGTACTTTTATCTGCAAGTTGTCTTTAATATGTTCTGTAATTATGCAGAGCAAATCATTAATACATTGAGTAATTGGTACATCTACAATAAATATTGATCATTGTGCAATAAATGAAATAATGGACAGAGACACACAGTTACAAACATTTCAGCTTCAGGACACAACGGACTAAAAGGGACCACAGAGATTCTCCTTCATTGTGATATTCAAACACAGAGAAAGACGCATTGAAGCAGATTGGAAGTCAAAGATTTAGTAGTAACAAAAGTAACAAAACTCGTCTAATCACCTAAATGTATCAAGTATTGCGGGCGGAGGGGCCAAGAAGACACTGTCCACCCACTGCTGGTTTAATTAAGAAGTGGTGCCTTTCCCTTGCAGTCGTGTGTGCGCGCGGGCAGAGGTGGGCTCGTAAATGCCTCGCGCTGGATTCCTGCCTTCTGATTGGCTCGTTCGGACGCGAGAGGCTGCGAGTGGCTGTAAAAAGGGAGCCGAGCGGAGTTGAACGTTTCTCTCGGCGCACATCTGCCGCTTTCCGAAGGATCCCGTCCGGTGACTCTTCAGCGTCCTCAGAACGATCCCGGGACCTTTTCCTCCGTGGACGGAACCCGCAACATTACAACGTGAGTGCGCGCCTTTCTTTTGTCTACTTTTTCCACGCTATTCTCATTCCTTATCACACTGATTGTGTAAGTGTTGTCTTGTTCTAAAATGGGGTTTTTCTATTTTTCTTGCAGGATCCGAGTTTTACAGATGAGAGGAGAGGAGATGGTGAGTTAGCTTTTTCTTTTTTTCTGCAATTTTTTCTAAGCAAAAGAAGTGAGGCGCTTTTATTTCCGACAGCGGACACTAATATTTGCGCACATGGATTCGAATTATAAATGAATAAACGACCAGTTCAGAGTGTGCCGACATCTGGCGAACACAATGCAGCAGCACTGCTGATCGGCCAGTGATGCTCGGATGCCTCCTTAGTGTGACTTTGTGGCTACAAACAGTTAAATCTGCAGCATGTGGAGGCATTTAACTGCTTGTCATGACCAGTTCAACTTCTTTAGATGATAAAATGTCGAGTTTTTCATATGTACCTGCATGATAGATTCATGCCTGTATAATACCTTAAGGTACTTTTGGGTTCTTTCTCAAGTTCTTGCAACTTCTCACAGAGTTATGATGAAGAGCAGATGGGGGCAGGAGGTCTTGCTGCAGGGTCAAATAGTCCTAAATGGATTGTGTAGACTCAGAGCAGAGAGCTCATTTGTTACGTTGGCTTGTTTTGAATGTGACCTCTGTGCTTTTTATGAACTCCGTTTGTGCGAACACATATCACTTTGTCACGTTTGGTTACATTGCCGTTCTGAAATCAGATCAAATGAATCAAACAACTTTATACAATACGACATGAGCCTTTACATCCATGCAGTGTTGAGAGATCAGAATCGTCCAGACAAAGCAGCATTTACAAAGAACGCAGGACCTCATCCTTCTGCTGCTTCACGTCTCCCCTTAATCTCCCACTGTCACATGATCTCTTATGGCCCGTTTGAGTCTGAGAGTGAGCCACCGCCGCTCACTGGCTGATTCTGCCCAATCAGTACAGTGAGTCAGAAAGGAAACAGCAGTATTATATTCCTCACTGTGTCACTGGTGAATTTCAAAGGCAAACCCGCTGCACCCTTAAAGAGGCAGGACCCCTGAACCTTAATATGGATCCACAAGTCCCCGGCTACCGCTCGAGATACTACACATGTTCTTACTTTGATGCTGCAGTCGTAGAGAAACAGTTGGACATTAGTACAGCTCTCCCTGAAATAATATCTGTCTGGGTTTTCAGTTGAATCACGCCTGAGTCAATGAAAATAGGGCGTTCACTAATGCCGCTGGTGTGGTCCAGTGAATTAACTGACAGATCAATTTGCTTTGTGTTGAAATCGGTCTATAGTTGTTCTCAGCAACTATTCTCAGCAGTGTTCTCAGCAAGTCGGCAGGCCTTTGATGTTCAAAACCAGAGTCTTTCATGGGTTGAAACCGACAGGCCCGAGCGTGCCCGCCAGCTCTGCGTTTACTCAACTCTCGTTATTAGCTGCGTCCACCAGAAAAGCTTAGAAACGGTCCGTCCTCGACCCACTGATGTGCCACATCGTGTGATATACCGACAACTTGTGTCTGACTCTCTCTCTCTCTCTCTCCCTTTTCTCCTCAGCTCTGCGACTGCTTACGGGAGCAGATGCAGTACATGATGAGGTCACTGCAAGACCTGAAACATCTGCGTAAAGCCTGCCCCGCTGCCAGACGCCCCCTCAGCACCCAGCTGCCAGCTTTAGCGCACCACTCTGCGTTGGCACGTGCCTGTCAGCAGCGAGCACTGCAGCGAGAGCATCGCGCTCGCCTGCGGATGTCCGACGCCAGCACGGCCAGCACTTACGACTCGGCGTGCTGCCTGGCGAGTCACCTCGAGGAGGATGAGGACAGCGTGAGCCGCCGGCTGGAGTCCCCCAGCAGTCAGAAAAGTTTTGAGTTTGACTCGGGTTACTCCGAGGCGTCGTGGCAGGACGAAGGGGTGGTTCTCAGGAGGACGCGCAATGTGCGGGTGTCATCTTCGGCCTGCCTGCGCACCAACAGAGCACCGAGTGGACGCATTCGACCCAAATCCACGTCCGACGCCTGCCTGGAGAGGTGGACGTCGTTTGAGGTCGGCGACCCGGAGGACTGGACCAACTCTCTGTTGACCAGAGGACGCAACCGCCAACCTCTGGTGCTGGGTGACAACAGCTTTGCAGACCTCATACAGAACTGGATGGACTTGCCAGATTGTCCCGAGCCCAAAGAGCTGAAACAAAGTTCAAGGAGTAGACAGGGAGGTTTCTTCGTCAACATGAGGAGGAAACTGGCTGGGTTTTCCAGGAGTGTGGAGGACAAGGTGAAGATGAGATCTACAGACCCTGATCACATTAACAGAACTGCAAATGCCCCAAAACGTCTGTCCTGTCCAGTGGTGGCGTCGACGCCAAAAGTCCCCTTTTTCCACCAGTCTTACTCCGGCATCAATGAGATTGACAATGATTTTTACCACTTTGCTGCCCTCCTGAAGTCCCGCAGCCGACAGCCCATAATCTGCCAAGACATCATTGGCCATGTGTGACAGAAAGCCACGTAGAGACTGGACAATCCTCAAAGTCACTTTGTTTTTTCACCTATTTTATGCTGTGACTAATGGAAATAAAGATGTTTCTCATAACTTAAACCTTTTTTTTATTATTATTTATGTCTTGCATGAGGAAATTTGTTTTGTTGATATCATTTTGAATTCCTGGAAGACACGCAACACGTTTTTTATTTTATTGAAATGAAACTGCCATTGTTTTCAGTAGAGCCTATAGCAGTCGGGCAGTGACTCCGGATAGCCAGATTAAAGCGAGCTTTTACTCGCGGTAAAGCAATGGAGTGTAGCTTAATTCGTCTTTATGAGAAGTGCCTCAAGGTTCGCAAATGTTGATGGTTGAGTGGTTCACAATTAAAAATACAAATTAGAAAACGCTATGTAACCGAGGAGCAGACTCGCAGTACTTCCAGGACTAATAAGGGCAGTCCAGATTTTTAAATCCATTTTAGATCATATCTTGGAGCGCTTTCGTTAGATACCAAGGGACTCAATGTTCTCCCCAAAAAAATGCTTCTCTTCTTACTCAACAAAAAGTTGAATCCTTCGGGGAGGCTATAAACGGGGCAACGAAGCTATTTACAGGCTCGAAACAGAGACTGTATCAACACAGAGCGCCGTGTGCCCGGTGAGCTCATTCCCCCGGTGTCCTTGCTGAGAGAGGTGAAGCAGCTGTTTGCAGATGGAGCGGAGGTTTACTTTTCCTTTTGCTTTATGAAGCATGACGTCTCACTAACAGGCCCTTGCTTCGTTTTAACGTGGCCCCCCTGCTGTTATTTTGGTCCCTCCACAAAGGTGGTGCCACCGCGCACATTGGTTAATGGTACCATCGGTTCAAGGCCCACCGGCGAGGCTAAAAAAACACACCAACGCAAAGTGAGTGACAGACACGCCAAGATAAGCTAATGATCACTTCACCTTTAGCTTCACACGCTCACGTTGCCCATCAATTCAGAGGAGAAATAGCTCAAAATAGGATAAAGATGAACTTTCCCAAAAAAAGAAAATGTTGATTCCCGTGCTGCACTGCAGCCGAGCCTCACCAATCAAGTCTGATACCGAGGGCATGGGAGGGTTACACAAGGGTTAATGGGTGCTGCTGCTTTTAATCTTATTACTTATGTCGGCTGGTGTTATGTCACTTATGACGTAACTATACCATTTGCACGGCAGTGGAAGTTATAAAATTGTGAGCCAACCCACAATAAAAACAGTGAATATCCTCGCAAAGAGACCTTGGAACAAACAATCTGCGTTCACCTTTTCCAGATGTATTTTCTGGCGCTACTGCTGATTCTTGCTTTTTTCTAGCACACGTTGGTTCCCAGTCGTCTGCAGCTGTTTAAGTGCATCAATACATCACCTTCCCCAGCTGACTGGAAATCTACCAACATATAGGTGTGTATGCCATTATCGGGTCTGGAATGTATTGCTTTCTTTCTGAGCACAGCAACATTCAAATATAAGGTTGGCTGTGAACAAGTGGGCGAATCTTATGCCAATCGTGTCTACATTCAGGGAAAGGGGGAGGTGGAAGCTACCAAGCAAACATTAGTTCGTACATGATACGTACATGCAGATTCTCTCTCCACGACCTTGAAAACGAGTCAAAGTGACCTCGTTCTACCTCATAACCTCACATTTAATTGAGGTGTGTGTGTGTGTGTGTGATGGAATAGCTGGGGGCCACCACCTTTATATCCCAAATGTAAACATTCCTGTTATAAGCTAATATGTTGTTTTAATAGGAAGCATTATCCTGTGATCCCGCTACTCATTCCAACCACGGTTAGAGGGACACTGTAGCATGGAGACAGACAACAGTTTGCCCAGCAGCACAGATGAATAAAATACCCTCCGTCTAAAGGATGAGCCATGGTTGCCACCCACAGTTTGGTTACAGCGAGTGAGATACTCTGGCAGATGTTAGTGCCAGTCACCATAAACACAAGATGATCAGAAGCAGATCTGCTGAGGCATCGCACACTTTCAGGGTGGCCCAGCCTGATGTAACGAACAAACTTACTGTTAATTAACAGCAGTCGGTGAGGATTTTCTATCTCCTGGTCATCATCGACAGTCCAGGGTGCTGTGAGCATGAACCCATCCTCACTAATCCCTCACTCCCATCACACATGTTGTGGCCTAATTATCCCTTCAGTAAACAGAAGGAGAAGACGGCTCACGCGCCCCTCATCTCTGTGATTTGGGTCTCCTGATATAAACAAGCTCTAATAGGTGCTACCTGTAAAACCCTGCTGTAACTGTCACAGAAAGGCACACTCAGGACTATTGCTTTTTAACGTATTAAAGGACCTTACATTTGTTACACAAGGTTCCTTGATTGAGCGCTGCGGGACTGTGGATGCTGATGTTTGCGCAGTTGTTCCAATCATTGTTTCAATGTGATGCAAACCGAGTGTGCGAAAGGCAAAGGTGCCCATGGGAGGTACAGTATATAGAGGTCATTGTGTTTCCATGTTAACTATTATAATAATAGTCATAAAAAATAGTATTTCACGCCTAATTGTCACATTCTACCAGTGTAAAACTCACCGACTGCACTGCAATGGTTGTTATTACCAATATCTAGAAATATATCTAGATGTCAGAATAAATGTTGGTTTTGTTTTTTATTTTGTTGAGAAGTCACGTTTCTTGTTTCTTGTTGCATCAGAGTGCTGCTGGATCTGATCATGCAGATCTACAACTGCCGACACACCTCCTGAAACCATTTTACTAGGTAAAGCGCTGAATTACGCAACACAGCAGCTCGGCATGCAGTTATTCTTCCAGAGAAAGCAGGTTTCCACTGGAAAGAAAGAATACTGCAGACGCGTCCAACAAAACGTCTACAAAAAACACAAGTAAACAAAATGAATATACATGATTAACTTTACGTTCTGAATAAATTCCAGTTGAAGTTCCTGCGTAATTTGGAATTAAAGAGTTTTGTGTCGGGCCCAGTGGACAGCTGTTATTAACTCTGCATTTACAAGACAATGTTCATGAATACCTCATAAGGACGTTATTGTCCACCTCTGATCATGGGCCACTTTTCTGCGTACAACAATGTGTCCCTGTGCTGTAAATCCTGTTGAGATACAGGTGAATATGCTGATATGCCCTCGGTGTTATTTGTGTGTAAGCCCACTATTTTTGGGCCACAATTAATTTACACGGGCGGGCGCGGTGGGCCTTTTAGGCCGAGGGGTCCCACTATAACGGCCTACACAATCAAACAGAATGGCTATGGAGCCGAGTTTAAAGTACTTGGATGAAAAGCCCAGGAGAGTTTGGCTTCCATGTCTGTCGGACAACTAGTGGACAATTAAAAGCATGTCTTCTAAAATACGTCCCGTCACAGATAGAGACAATCTATGTACCACATTATGTTACTGAAGAGAGACGCCGTTCATGACTGCTGAGGGACACACACACTCTCACAGGCTACTCCTGTAATCAGCTAGCAGAGAATTGGACAGGAAGTATAGTGTGGGGGTATTTAGCCCGCAGTCTGACAGGGAATGATTGTGCTTAATCTCTTTTATTGTTTTCTTTCCTTGTGTGGGTAAAACTCCTCCGCTATAACCTGGCCAGAATTAAAAAATCATTTCCGCTTCACTGTAACTAAGATTCTCATATATCGTGACAAAATGCAGACTAAAAAAATCTTAGATTTTTGAGGTCCCTCTCACTCGTCATCTCCTTTAATAACGGTGAATCATATTCTGTACATAACACTGTAACAGATTGCTCGTTGGGACCAGTTGATCTTCACAAACGCTTTATTTAGAAACCAGGCAGCTGCTCTCCTCTTCTGCTCACTATAAACCGAACGGGGTTCATGGGAATCATAACAGACGAGATGACACAGGCGAAATATGCCAGAGGACTTTGGTTTGGTTCTCATGGCCAAACGGGGCCTCATAGGTCAGACCCTACTTCCTCTGTTCACTAAAACACACACTTTACAAGCAAACCCACGATTCCATGGCATCAATAAAACTGCCTCATCGGAGGCATCAATACAACATTCTGCTTTATTTCATTGATTGGTTTGTTACAGCATCAGGTAAAACTGAATATCTTATCAACATTGAACCATCGCCATTTCAAGAAATGACATGAAATTTGCAAAATCAGCAGCTTCAAGTACTTCAGCGCAGAAAATCCTTATTTGCATTATCATGCTTGTTGTAATCAAGTGTACAATCCATATATATTCCATTCACCATAATAGCTTCCATAACTTATTATGTCTTTGTTTCTGGAATGTTTCAAAGAGTCATTCTGTTTCTTGCATATTTTTTAAAGCTTAAATAAACAACGGCCTCTGGAATGTAGTTGTATTCCATCTATTATTACTGACTATTTGCTACATGCATGTGAGTGGGGACCTGCCTGAGCCTGCGTTGTGTCACGTCCCAGTTCAGCCCCAATTGGCTCAGTCAGCGTTGGAGCCTTTGCACAGCCTTCAGTCAGCACGTTCACACAGCAGGGCCTGCAGCCTCTGGAAAAAGCTGAGGAAAACACCACAGTAAAGAGAACGGAAAAAACATTAGCTTATCTGGAGCCAATAAATGTTTTTTCATTTTCTTGCAGCCTCGTGTTTCAGCCATTATCCCCTTTTTGTTTTAAAAAAAAGTAAGGCAATCGTTTGCCACAATGGGACAGAGACTCATGTTTGCTTGTGCAGATATACTTTGATTGCACTTCGTCATCGGGCAGCGTTCCGCCTCAATTTGCAGGTCTCGCACTGAAATCGTTTGAAAGTGGTTTCGATAAATACTACAAAGAAGGCTTTCAAAACAAAGCCTGCGGAGGATGCCTAAGCCACATCTGGTGACAAGCTCTCTACGTTTCTTGTTGTGAAAGGGTCTTCAGAGTCCATTCACAACCGCATGTGTGTTTATAGTCACACATGCCCGGCATCCACCCTGCAGTCACACACACACACAGTCAAACAAACACTTCCACCGCCAAACACAAATATTCACACTTTCTCACACACAAACATTGTCTCGTTGTGTACCTTGATGCTGTAGACACAGAAGGTTCCAGCTCAGGAGCCGGAATAGTTG